AATTCATTTACTAATTTGATGTTTTGTTCTTGTTCTATTTTCTATTTAATCTTTTATATATTTAATCATGCTATATTCCTACCTTCTCTCTTTTTAACCACAACCTTGTCGTTTATTATGCGCTCTTGTTGATTAGTTTAATTATAATTTAATTATAAAGAATATTCATACTTAACCATGTGTATTGGAAGAGGTTTTTTTTTTTTTAGATTACATAATAAGAGGTAATTTTTTTTAAAAGAATTTATAATTCTCTCAAAATATATAAATCAATAATAACTATCCATATGATTGGTTCTCTTGTAAGCAAGTTATACTCTTCCTCAATGTTAATTCATTATTCTTTTTCTTTATTTTCTTGTTCCTGTTCCTAATTCATTAAAACATTCTATATCTGTTTTAGACTGTTGATGTAATTATAATAGAATTTTGGAACTCAACCACAAGTATTGGAAGAATTTTCAATTTTCCCATGATTATGGAAAGCTGTTTATTGAACATGTCTGTTCACAAATGGCTTTACCTTACGAACAGTAAAAGCGGATTAGAGTATTCCTATTTCCTATAATCTATTGAAGCCAATTTAGCTCACATATGAGAGAAAAAAATTTTCTTTTAATCCTACTTTTCTTGTATATTTGAGTTGAAAAGAATAGAAGGTATAGGAGGGAGGGTTTTGAATAAATAAATAAATTTAAAAAATAAAATAAAATAAAAAATTTTTGCTCCCATCCTCTTTAGTTGTTTTAATAACTAATTTTTTTTTTCTTTTCATTTTCTTCAATCCAAATATTAAGGGTGTTCACATGTGATCCAATCTGATTGATCTGATCTAAACTGAATCAATCTAATAAAAAACTGAACCAAACTGATATAAAATTGAGTTGGTTTGGATTATAAAATTTTAAAACCGATATAATTTGTTTGGTTTGTAATTTTACCTTCAGACTGCTCGAATCGTCCGATTAAAAAATAAAATCCAATTACATAATAATTTAATTAAATAATATAGTATATTTTTTTGTAATATTTTAATTTTTTTTCTTATTTTATAAGATGATAACTTCATTAACGTAATTTAAAAATAAAAATAAAATATCCATATATTCTCTAATTTATTTTCCTTGCTAAATCATGCACTCTGACTCTAATTCTAAATTTTCAATTCACTTGTAACTTTATTTCTTATAATTAATCTATGACTCTATTTTGAAAATTCTAAATTTTTAATTTGTTCTTAAAATAATATTCTGATTCTCTTAATTAAATTTTAAGAAATATCATTCTAGAAGTCTTAAAACTATATAATAGAACTAAATTTGATATTCTACTATTTTTGGATATTTGGTTAAGAAGTTTTAAATTTTAATTATGAATGATTTCTAATCATTCCTAATGACATTTATATTAAATTTTAATTGCTTTTAACAAGGTTTAAAAGATGAGATTGAATCATTTGTTGCATTAAGGAAAAATGTTAGTTTTAACCTTTAATAATTATTTGTACTGTATTTAAAATTTAAAATTATCTTTTATTATTCTTGATGCCTCTAGTGATGTAGTCAAAAAGAATTTCTAAATCTTTTCAATTTTTACAATTGTAAATGAGTATAAGAACTTGTTTATAATTTGTGCATTTTATTATATTTTTAGTAATTTGGATGTCAATGTATTTTATAGCTATATTTTCTATTTAATGTAAAAATTTGTTATATTATCTCATAAATTTAATAGTATTAAAAACCAATCAATCCGACTGAACCACACCAATCTGATTTAAGTTGAATTGGTTTGATTATCATATAATAATAAATTGTATTGGTTTAAAAATTTTATTAACTGATTAAATTGAATTGATTTAAAAAATATTAAAATCCGAACCAAATCACACTCGAACACCCCTACCAAATATACTATTAATGACAACCTTCTAATGCTTTCCTTCCATGGTTACTTTAGCAATGCATTCAAATTTTCATTTTTTTTCCCAACCCATCATAAATGACACAAATTTTGAACTAAAAACGGAAAGAGGGAGTAAAAATTCTTCATTACGCAACCCTCAGCGTTTCATCCTTCAGGCCATAAAAAAAGAAGAATGGAAATAAAATCTTCAACGTTAAGGAAATCAAACATGAAAGAATAAAATGAATATAGAAAAGAAAGAATAAAATTTTACCTGTAGACGCTAGCCCAAGAATTCCTTCAGGACAATTCGGAGCATAGGTTAGGATTGAAAGAGATAGGATTTAAGTAGTAGGATTGGATTGGTTTAGATTGGATTATTTGAAAGTCTAATTATATGTTTTGTTTGTGAGATTAAACATAGGATTGACTTAAAATATTTATTTATTAACAAAAATACTCTTATTATTTTAATTCGGTTTATTTATTAAAAAGGGGAAAAACTTACTAAAATCCTTCAAAATTTTCTTGCAATTTTCAATTTCATTTTCTCCACTTCCAAACAGGTACCTGCTTTTTCTCTGCTAGAGAAAACGCGGTGGGACCCAAACCGCACCAAAAGTCTCTCGCAACCTTGGTCGGTGGGGGCACTATCATGTGGTTATATGTATGCATTCGTTTGGTTGCTTTTCAATTTATTTCCCCAAAATTTCCCTTTGCTGTCCGTTTGCAATTGCCTTTGGTAAATGTTGGAACAAAATGGCAAGACAATACAATAAGCCTCTACGTACCTTTCTGAATCATTGGCGCTTTGGTTTTAGTCCACCACTTTTCAATTGCCCCATCTAAGTCCTTGAAACAAATAAAAGGTTCTTTCATCCTCTGTATTTTAGTTTCATCATTTTTATTCCATTCGTAGACTTATAAAAGATAGAATAAGTGATATTTCATGGGAGAGAATGATAAGGAAAGTAGTAACAATATCAAAATAAAAATAAAAACAAAGACAAAATAAATTTAAAAAGTAATTCTTTAATGAATAATTAAAGAATTATTATATCAATAATTGTCTTTTACGGATTAATGAAAAGCTATTAATTGAAAATTACGATAAAAATTTTTTCTTTGTAAATATATCATTCGTCATCCTAACGTTCTCTCATAGGTGGTGAGGGGGCTTATTGTAGTCCACATACAAAAATTTAATGAATCATTTAGTCTAGCTTAATAAGAGAACATTTTGCTAACTAGCACTGTTCATCCAATAGGTGTCCTGGGGTTGCTAAATTGTTAACACCTTTCCCATTCATAATCGTACTCTTTAACCAAAATTTATTTATTTTAAATAAATAATATAATAAGTGATCAATTACACCTAATAAAAGATTAGTGATGACCCCAAACAATTTATCAATTCTTAAGCAATCAATAGAGTACCATTCACCTTGCGGAAGCCCCTATCGAGAACATTGCGACAATTACTTTTTGCGTTTTTATATTTTTATTAAATTTGAGAATTTTATTAGAAATACTTGATAAAAATTGGATCATGATAATTTTTTAACTACTTTCTTAATAGAAATTTGGTTAAATGTTAATTTTGATCCCTCAACTTAAGATTTTACATAATTTTCATTTTTTAATTTTTTTTGCATTTTTTTGATCCTTTAACTACAAAAATTGCACTTTTTGAATTGTATGTCAATTAATTTAAGTTTATCTAAATTTATATATTTTTAGTCTCTCAACTTTAAGTTGAGGGATTAAAAATGTATAAATTCAAATAGATTTAACAAATTAATAAACAAAAGAAAGAAAAAAAAACATACTTTTCATAATTAAAGGACTAAAAAAGTACAACAAAAATTGAAAAATAAAAAGTATATAAAACCTTAAAATTGAGGGACCAAAATTGATATTTAACCTAAAAATTTTTCTAATAAAGTTTACATCTAACACACATTGGATAACTAGTTGGAAACCTTTGAAAGGAAAACAGAAAGCCCGAGAGAAGAAGATGAATTATAGGTAATTTTGTAATTTTAATAATTTATAATAATTTTATCATATACACTGACATAAATGAGATAAAAAACGTTAGTTTAACAGGTCAGTATAATATATATTATCAGTCTATTTATTTTTAGAATTTGTCTAAAACTCATTTTATAATTAATATTTTTAAAAATTAACTATTGATTTAAGTTTTCTTTATATGTAGACCACACATATTTGTTTTTAAATTAATATAATATTTATAACTTTTTAATTAAAAAAATTTATTTACTAATTGTATTTAGTATTGTTAAATTTTGTGTAATCAATAAACTAGTTAGGCCTATTAGATTAATTTAATTATTTACTAATTATATTTAGTATTGTTAAATTTTGTGTAATCAATAAACTAGTTAG